CTGGGGAATTCTGGGAGTTGAAGTCCACTCATCTTAAAGTGGCCAAGTTTGGACAACACTGATCTAGGGGTACCAGCTGAACATGAGCAAGCTATGTGATGCAGCAGTAGAAAGGACAGTGAACTCTTGGCCAACGTTGGCAGAAGTGTTGCACCTGCCCCGTGAGAGGTAATAGTGTCACTATGACTCTGCTGATTCGACCACCCTTGGAGTATTGCGTCCAGCTCTGGGCCAAAGAAACATGGGTTTGAATGGGTTCAGAGGAAAAGAGTCAGGGTGAAAGGGGGCCAGAAAATCATACTTAATGAAGAATGCTTAAAAGGGCTGTGCAGGTTTAGAAAACAGATGCCTAGGTGGATATGATTGCAATCAACGCATTGAGAAGGGGTACTTGGGCAGGAGAGAAGCGGATCTATTTGTAGAAGTGGAGAGCGGGAGAAGGACCAATAGGTTGCAATTAAAAGCAATTCAGGCTGCAGATTATGAGAGTAAGAGCTGTTGGAGCTATCTACATATCAAGAAGAGTGGTAGATTTTCCCACACTGGGGTTTTTCAAAAGGGTGGCATCAGGATGTCACAGTTTTCTACACTAAGCAAGGGTTAGATTAGATGATCGCAAGGCCCCTTCTAATTTATACATTCTGTAATTCAGGTTTGCATTAACCAACCTTCCCCAGTTTGGTGCCCTTGAGAAGTATTAGTTTTCATCTCTCATAATCCCCAACGCGTTATGATCTCCAGCTTCGTCCTTTCCAGATATACTGGACTGTTTTTCATAATCCCAGATGGCTCCAGATTCTGAAAGGCTGGCTTTAGCACTCTTAGAAATCGCTGTCAGCTCTTGTATATTCTATTTGTTGAAAATAAATAGCTATACAACACCGTCTCGTATAACTGTACTGTAATGCTGTACTCGTATTACTGTACTCGTATTACTGTACCGTTTTTCAAACATTTTCCCATTCTAATTTCATTAGAACTGTGGAATTTAATTTAATAAACGTTTAGTTGCTTTGCAAGCCTTTTTTTATCAAAAGACCTTTGATGTAATTATTTCAGGATGCTTTGTTATTCACAACGCATAACGAAGGAAGTAATTAGAAATAAGTATATAAGCATCCTTATATAATTACAGTAAAAGTGATATGTACTATATTTTGCCCGGTTCCTTCTCTACATTACTGCCTGCGGCTAAAAAGATGAAGCAGTGACACAATATAGATATATGTGCTAATTTTAAAAATTATTTACTTGAATCTTTGTACCTACTTTTGTATGGTTAAAATCAGCTTCAGTGTGGTTTCAAAGCAAGTCTACAACAGTCTTTAAGAGAACCAAATAAACTATGAGCAGTTTAAAGAACAGTATCATACAGGATTTGCATCAGCAAATTAAAAAGATATCAGGAGTGATTTTGAAAATGTGTATTGACATAAACAGCCATTCAGTCCTAGCCCTATAAAATTGGAATGGACTGTGGATGTAAAAACAGTTGTGTTGGGTCTGACTGAAATAATAATTCTCCTGTCTTTTGTGTTGGCCAGACCAGATGTCAAGGGGTCTGGGCACCATACTTTTAGGATTCAGACAAACTGAACGAAGTTTAAAGATCAGAGGGCTGGAAGCTATCAGATCAGAGACTGACAGAAATAGGAAAGTTGACATTTGAGAAGACCAAGGGAAGATATGGGAAATGCCACACTCTTCAAATACTTGAAGAGATGTTCATGCAGAAGAAGACCAATACATGTTTTTTGTCATTGCAGAATTCTTCAGTTACAGGACAGTAGAAAATGTCCTAACAATGAAAGTATCAGTAGAACTAGTGACCCAGAAAGGTGGTAAGCTCCTTGTTGGATGTGTTCAAGCAGAGTCAGCCATCTTTTGAGAATGCTGTAATTTGGATTCCTTCATGGAATAAGGTTGGCCTAAATGGCTCTTCTAGTTATCTGATTCTCTGATCATTCAGAATTATGGTCTTACATTGGCTAACCAGATGCTACTGAGAAGCCTACAAGGAAGACACAAGCACCTTATACCATTCACTCATGTTGTAACTGTTTCTAACCAAGCAATTAGAATTGAGATGAATACATCTTTGTCACCAAAGATATTGCCATCATGACTAATAACTATTGATTAGAGCTACCAGATCTGGACTGCGAAGTCTGGATAATCATTAGATGGTAGCAAAGAATTCACGTTTTCAGTATCTCCTTGTAGTCATCTAGAGATTGTCCACATTTCTTCATTCCAGATCTAGTAGTATTCTACTTGATTTCCATACCCTTTGTGAACTTCTCTAATTTACTGTTAGAACCATTCAGTTTGGTGGCCCTCAGTATATCCTATGCTGTAGTAGCAAATTCCAGAGTTAATTGTGAGCTTTATGAAGAATAATTTCTTTTTATCTGTCTTGAATGTCCTCTCTTCTTGCTCTGGGAGGTTCAGTTGCGGGCCTTGAGGCCCTCCTCCCCCCTACAAATTTGGGGATGGTCCCCAGAGCACCTCCAGCGGTTGCTGCCAGATTAATTTGGATGTCATTAACAGAAAACTTAAGTATGTGGGAATAATCATAGTCATTGTAATTAATTAATTATAATTAAATTAAACAGGTGTAGTTATTGTCTTGGCACCTTCCACTTTGGTGGGTTCAACCCCAGGCATGCCACTCAAAGATGCGTCCTCAGCTTGAAAAAAGTTGGGCACCTCTGTTCTGGCTTGTATTTTGAGACTTTCAGCCCTACAAAATAGACCAGATCAGAAAATGAACTCCACTGGAAGACTAGAACTGTATTGAGATAGGCTCTAGTAGCAGAATCTTGCAAGTCTGATTGTGCTTTTCCTCTCTCCCTCTTATACCGGAGTAAGTCAGGGAGGAGCCAGCCTGAGTCTCTTCTTAATACTGTCTTCCTTCCCAGAGTCTAAGGAGTGCTTCTCTCCTTTGTATTTACATAACAATTTCTGGTTTTTTTCCCTCAAGGCCATTTCCATGGCTGTCTACAGGGAGACAGAAAAGGCTTCCCTACCAATTTCTCTGTAGAGCTAAACATGCTCTCCAGATGTTTTGGACTTCTGCTCTGGTTGGTCCCATCAAAGGATTGTTGGTAGGGAAGGAGAAGGGAATAGAATGGCCCTTCACCCTGTAAAATTTGTTTCAGGTCTTGTTTTTCCAGAAAGAATGGGCTTCCTTATGGGCATGGATTTGTAACGTAGACATTTTCAAACTAGTGATGTAAAAGGCATTGTAGAAATGGTTGAGAAGGACTACAATCAGTCCTTTATCTAAGACGTTCTTGTACGCTTGATCAGAGTTGGCCAGCAGATTCTTCATGCTTCTCAGTTGCCTATTGATATTTAACTAGGTCTGTGATGACTTAGAAAATTAACACAGCCTATAAGCAGTGATATATAGGGCATGAAGGTTCACACTTTTTGTTTGTTTTCAAGGATCATGGTGACTTAATTAGCACTAGTGGAGGGGGGGAATAGAGAAGGCTCTTTTGCCATTTGTGCTCTCACATTTGCCTAGCCAGAATCCTCATCCAAAGTGCCATTCTTCCTCATCCTTTTTGAAAATAAATGAAAAGACCTGAGAAGGTGCTTCTGGCATGCAAATTAAATAATAATAATAATAATAAAAAATGTAGAGGGATGCACCTTACAAGGCTTTGGCACAAGTTAGCATTTAAAAAAGAAATCCACAAATGTGTAATCACATAAGCCCTAAGTTATCTTATACCAGTGCTAACTTGCCCAAATAAATCAAGCAGTAAAATTGATTATGAACTGTAGAGGAAAGATCTCCT